GTCCACTCATCTTAAAGTGGCCAAGTTTGGACAACACTGGCTTATGAGGATGAGAACCCTCTCTCCAACCCTTGGGGCTTTCTGGCAACTCGAGCAGGCAGGTCTGCCCTAAAGGAAACTTTAATCGGGAACAGGTTTAAGGCCAGCATCCTGTTTGGGGGCGTTGTTTCATTGCAACCATCAGCCCTCCGAGGTAGGCCAGGTCAAGAAACAGACCCTGCAGGGATTCTCGGAATCTACTTTATGGCTGTAGGGTAGAATAACCGAACCTTGAAAGCCTGTCTGAGTTTCTCTCTGCTCCATCTTTTACTTTCTTTTTCCTGCTGGTTTCAGTCTCTGGACTGTGTAATCGTTTCCCCACATTGCTGCATAATGTTTTTCTCCTACCTTCCCCAAGGTCAGCTCTAAATTCAACAACACTAATAATAATAATAATAATAATGCCTACAAGTATCTTGATGCAAATGAAGGTCAACATCAGTTAAAGAACTGGCAGCTGTGATTTCATGTTGTTGTGTACATAATAACAACCACCATAATAATAATAATAATAATAATAATAATAATAATAATAATAATAATAATATAATCAACTTGTATATTGCCTGATTCTCAGCAACTCTGGGTGGCTCACAACAATCAAAGAAATCACCATAAAGCCAGTAAAATGTAAAGATAAAAGATGGCAAGTGCGACGAAGTGAGGGGTCTCACTCCCTCGTTGAAGGCCTGGGTGAAGAGCCACCCACTAGCCACAAAACGGCTTGCTTGGTGTGGGCACAGGACATAGAGCAGCATTTCTCAAATTTGGCAAGATGGGTGGACTTCAGCTCCCAGAATTCTGGGCATTGAAGTCCACCCATCTTGAAGCTGCCAAGTGTGAGAAACAGTGATGTAGAGTGACTCTCGTCAAGCATGGCGTATTCTTAGACCGTGTCTGTTCCCAGAGCCCAATGGAGAACTTGAGGCAGCATCTGGAGGACCGCAAGTTCACCCTCGTGGTTGAGTGGCACCTGAAGACACCAAAGATGGAATAGAGCAACTGCTTTGATGGGGGTGCAGTCATTTTCCTGCAGTTGTCCAGAGTTTGCACCCGTAATGTTTTAATGAAAAGTGGCAAGAGGCAATAGCTTCAGTCAGTGTTTCTCAACCTCAGCAACTTTAAGATGGGTGGACCTCAACTCCCAGAATTCCCCAGCCAGCATGGGGAATTCTCAGCAACTTTAAGATGGGTGGACCTCAACTCCCAGAATTCCCCAGCCAGCATGGGGAATTCTCA